GCTCCTTAGTATTATCTGAAGGAGCTGAAGTTCTGTCCACACAAAAATCTACACAAAAATGTTTACAGCAATCATTCATAACTGCCAAAACTCAAAAGCAACTGAGATGTCCTTCAGGGGGTAAATGGAGGAATAGGCACATTCAGATAATGAAATATTATTAAAAAGAAATGAGCTATCAAGTTATTGAAAGACAGGGAGGAACCTGAGATGCACATTACTAAGTACATACAAAGAAGCTAATTTCAAGAGGCTCTATACTGCATTTCAACTGCATGACACTCTGGAAAAGGCAAAACTCTAGGACAATAAAAATATCAGTGGGTGGAAGGGAGGAATGGCAGATTTAGGGCAATGCAACTATTTTTCACTGGACGTTTGTCTAACACCCAGAGTGAGCCTTAATGAGCTTATGGGCCCTGTGTGATGCTGTGTCAATATGGGTTCATCACCTGTTACAAGTATGCCCTCTGGTGGGGGAGGGTATGAAGGAAGCTGTGTGTGGGGCAGGTATATAGGAAGATCTCTACCTTCTGCTCAATTTTACTGTGAACCTACAACTTTTCTAATAACAGCTATTTTAAGCAAAATAAAAAATATGCTATCAAAGGAAGCTTTACAAAAAAAGGAAGGGCGCATGGCTACCCTGCAGTGAGAGAGAGGACCTCGAGCCAGGCCACAGGTGGGTGCCAAGGCTGGCCTTGGGGTGGGGGTGGGGAAGACAGCAAGCCTTAGGCCTTGCAGCAGCCATGGGCCTGCGCATGCCAAGAGCCCAGCACCCTTGGGCCTGTGGCTGGCCCTGGGGAGGCTGAGGGGCACTAACGAGGGCAGTGCCTTCTCTCCTGAAGCCTCTGGCCCAATGGGGAGGACAGATGACAAGCTGGCAATGCAGGTACACACATGTCTAGTGACAGACCATGAGTACCATGAGTCAGTGGGAGGGGAGGGGCCCTCTGGGGTCAGGGAGCAGAGATGTTCTCTCTGCAGATGACACTAGAGTGGAGTCCTCAGGGACAGAGGGCCAGTAATACAAAAATGGGGCTGCTTGTTTAGGCGGGAGAGACAGAGGGCACCGAGACCAGACATGGGGCTGGAGGGAGCAGGGGGTGTGGAAGGAAAGGCCCCAAGGAGTCTGTAAGAGTCTGGATGAGACCTGAGCCAGCACAGGAGAGGAAGGGGAGGCCTACCTGGACACTCCTGGAGGCAAAACCCAGAGCCGAGCAGAGGGCGGGCCAGGGAAAAATGGGCAGCTGGGACTGGCTTCTGGTGCTCCCCCTGTGATGGAGGCAGGAAGGAGTACGTGTTGGGTGCTCAGTTGACTTGCTAAGTGTGGGGCACCCTACTGCAAGAACAGTATCTAGAGAAGGGTTGAAGTTGGGGGCCTCATTGGATGGGTATCTGGAAGGGTGAGGGGTCAGAAGTAGGGAGGGGAAGGAGTGGTACTCAAGACGGCCTGGAGTCAGGGTGGAAGGAGACTCTCCCCAGGTGACCAAGGGGGCCAGGAAGGACAGTCAAACAAAGTGCAGGGAGAAGAGTAGCAGGACAGTAGAGTAGCTGAAAATGAAGGAGCAGCTAAGGACAGAGCTGCTGGGAATGGTGGAGAAGCTGGGAACAAAGCGTGGAGCATCTTGGAGTGGTGGAGAAGCTGGGGACAAAGCGAAGAACAGCTGAGAATGGTGAAAGAGCTGGGAATGAGTGAGGATTAGTTGAGGGTGGTGGAGCTGCTGGGAGTGATGGAGAAACTGGGAGTGATGTAAGGAGCAGCTGAGAGTGGTAGAGGAGCTGGGGACTGAGTATGGAGCAGCTGGGAGTGGTAGAGGAGTTGGGTACTAAAGGTGGAGCAGCTGGGAACTGGGAATGTCCATAGTCAGAGCGCTGGTGACCTGGATAGGTGAGGAGGGACCCTCGAAGGTGACGAGAGAGAAAAGGCAAAGGTTCAAGGAATGTGGAGCCCCGGGGGGTTGTGGAGATGACAGTCCTGGCCCTTGATGGTGCTATACCCACCCTCAGTCAGCCCTAGGAACCTGAGACCCAGTACCAGACTGTTCTGTCATGCCCCCTGGTGGCAGGGCCTGGTTTCAGGCACCACACATGTCCCCAATGCCCTCTCCCACCACACACCCTGTTGTGACCCCCTGGCTGGCTCTTGTTCCTGCTGGGCCCCTTGTCCCCTTCCCTGACCACGTTATGCATGCCCAGCACTGTCACCCTCCTTCCCAGCTTGTCCAAGCATCCACCACTACCCAGGGGCTCCAAGGCTTGGATCACATACTGGCCACTCCCTCCTGAGCTCCAGCAGGGCCGGGCATGTGCATGACAGGGTCCCCGCCTCCTGGAATGGCTCCTGGCATGCAGCAGGCACCGCATCACTGTCAAATAAGTCAGGGACTGAAATCCCTGGTCTGCTGGTAGCCCCTCTCTAACTTCCCAGCACCGGGTGCATGTCTGGAGGCAGGAGCCAGCGCTGAGCTGCCCAGACCTGGTTCCAGTCCAGCCTTCCAAGCTGAGGGGCCTGCACAGAGCAGAGCCTTGTCTGTGAAAGGGCATTGAGGACCCACCTATTGGGGTTGCCTAGATGAAATCGGCAGGTGTGCCGTGAGGACAGGGCCAGCCTACAGGAAGGGTGGGGTGCTGCCATATCTGAGCCTCTAGTGGGATTTCTGGAGCAGAAAGCACGCCCCGTGGGCCACTCTGCACAGATAAGTGGACACTTCATATGAAGAAAGGATGGACAGTGATGACTTAACCACAGGGACCATGCAGGTGTACCATGCAGGTGTGAAGCAACTATCAACTCTTCTCTGGAGACTTTCTGGAAAGTTCCCACTTCACTCTCCAGTCACTTGCCCATGGCTAGTTCTGACAGTGAAGCAGAAGTGAGGCAGTGACCTGCTGCTTTCTAGCGTGGCTTCTATCACTCCCACAGCATCTGAGAATACCAGAACCTCGTGCCGAGACCTTCTTGAGGGTGTAGGCAGGCTGGGCATTTGCATGGCACCCATGGTTTCAGTTCTGAAGGTGCTACCGCCACAGTGACAGCTCAGAGGCTGCTGTGCCCTGCCCCCTCCTCAGCGGGCACCGCCCCTAGCACTCCTGCAGAAGACAAGTCCAGCAGCACAACAGGTAGACTCTTGAGCTGCTGGTCTCCCTTGAGGGTGAGATGAAGGCTTCAGGGGACAGCACAGGACAAGGCCTGCAGGAGCTGGGCAAGAAACGGCTCTGCAGCAGGCCACCCCCGGAAGCACAGTCGCAAGGCAAGGGTGAGGGCCTCCTGGAACTTGAGGACACCTGCTCTCAGGAAGGAAGGGAAGTAAAGTGGGGGAGAAAACATGAGGAATCTGGGAAACTGCTGAAAGATCAGATCCGGAATTTTTAGTTACTTGACTAACAATCAGAGATGTGATGGGGAAAGTGGGGAAGACTCAAACAGGCACCTCACCAGCATGCTCTGAAGGCTAGGACACAGAAAAAGGGATGGCTGCCCTCAGCAGACTTTAGGGGACACTCAGGAAACCCTCAGGAAACAGCATCCCACCATCTAGACCCACCAGCATGGATGGAATCAAAGAACATTCAGATAGTTCCAAGTGCTGGTGGGACTTCCATGCCTCACTGGTGGGAGAGCTGAGCTACTGTGGAAACTGCTTGTATGGAATACACACACCACCACCACAAGCACCCCATTCCTAGAACGACAGGGAAGCGCAGACTCCCCTGTGGAATACATGTGAAGGCAGAACTCACACGTGGGAGAGATATATGGGGTGTTTGCTGAGACACAAGGAGCCATGCAGCAAGGAAAGGAGGAAACAATGGCACGCAGGGCAGGACTCCCTGCACCAGAGCTGGCCAGCACAATGAGGCTTGTCACAGGCAGAAGCCACCACCATGTGGACGGGGCCTGGTACTGTCACCCCAGACCGGGTGGCAGTTCTGTGTGCACATTTCATGGAAACTCCCAACACAACAGTAGTCATGTGTGCACTTTCAATACGTGCACACATGCTCCTATCCTCATGTACAAACACATGGTACATGGTACACACACAAAATGTGGTTTTTTTTTTGTTTTTGTTTTGAGTTGGAGTGGGAGTGTCACTCTGTTGCCCTGGCTGGAGGGCAGTGGCATGCTCCCGGCCACCGCAGCCTCAACCTGCTGGGCTCCAGTGATCCTTCCGCCTCAGCATTCCGAGTAGCTGGAACTACAGGTGTGTGCTACCACGCCCAACTTTTTTTTTTTTTTTTGATTTATTGTAGAGATGAGGTCTCGCCAAGTTGCCCAGGCGGGTCTTGAACGTGTGGGCTCAGGCAATCCACTCACCTCAGCCTCCCAAAGGTGCGGGATTACAGGCTAAGCCACTGAGCCCATCTCACAAAATGTGTTTCAACACACAAGCTACAAGGAACGGGGAGGTCGCAGCCTCAGGCACCCGACCTCATGGCAGCAAGGCTCCTTTGCTGCAGCAGACAAGACTGGTACTGGTCACAGTATGGGGAGCAGGCACTGCCTAAGGCCTTCTGAGGGCCAGCATCAATGGGATAAAGACAGACCACGAGAGTCCAGTTCCTGTGGAGGAAGAACCACAAGCATCAGGGCTGCTGAGACCCAAGGTCACACACTGACCTCCACCAGACTCCAGCATTCTGCAAGAACATGGGCTCGAGGTGTTACTGACCAGCTGATCCCACTGGCAGGCAGGGAAGGCCAAGGGGTTGGCAGACTTCTGCCAATTGAGGCAGGAGTAATTTCACCAGGGCCTGCACCTGACACACAGCTATGTTAAAACTGGAGCCCCTGAACAGCCAGTGGCACCGACCAGTCATTTCCCTCACAAACCAGTCCCCAGCATTGCAACAGCCACTGCCTTGGAGGGTGGCGACTGCTGTTCAGGGCCAGACAGACCAGAAGGGGAAAGAGTATTATACAGTGGGTGAAGTGTGCCTGGACACCCGACTTCCACTTGAAATGCTTTGTCCCTCAAACAAAGACCACGCAAAGGTGAAGACCAGCGCAGGATAGCATCCTTTATTTCCCTTTTACACATCATCTGTGGGATTCTGCTATGTAAAACCCACGCCTGTCAACTCATTCCACAACTACTGAGGCTAAGTGTCTGTGATTCCCTTTCCTGGATGAAGAGATCCGAGACTGACACTCCTCATGACCAGATTCAGAAAGCCTGAAACAAGAGTTGATGAAGTTTCCACTCGTAAGTACTTGTTTTCTGGGGCTACAGGATCACCTACTTTAGAAATCCCCTTGGTTTGACTAGCACAAATTCACATCAGAGAATCAGTTTTTCCGATAAACATGGTATTTCTGGTTTCCTGATTAGCAGTTACAAACTTAAATTTTTTTTTCTTCCAAGACCTAAGTAACTTGAAACTCCAAACCTAAGACTAAAGAACAATTCTCTTCCTGAAAAAGCTGGCTCTAATTTGTTTTCTGGACACACACAGTGGGGGAGTCACACTGCTTGTTAGAGGCAGAGAACACATCTGCAAGTGTGTGCATTTTATGGAAACCCCTAAGTAAATGCCTGAGTGTACACCTTTCCACATGTGCACACATCCATGTGGACAAACTCAAATGGTAAGCATGTGCACACATAAAATGTGTGGATGAGGGATTCAAGCTGCCTCTGACTCCCTCTATGTAGAAGGAAGTTCATCCAAGCTCAAATGAAATGTTCCAACCACCCCCTAGCTAGTGGTGTTGCCTCCTTAGGTAGAAGGCACCTGCCGGTTTAAGCAGAAAAATAAACCCCTGCCACATTCTCAGCTGGACGGAGAGTGGCCACCAATCATGTGGCAGGGAGGGGAAGCTGAGTTCAGGCACTGAACTGGTCGTCCTGTGTGCATCACTTTCTGGTGAGTTCCAGCACCTTCTTCACCATGGCCCCAATCCCGTCATGGATGTGGTGGAGTGCTGTCTCACACATGAAGGCTGGCGTTGTGACCACCTTGTTTTTCTGGTCCACGTGAGCTTCGTGCACGTAAGTTATGGAAAAAAAATCACACAGTGAGACCCAGGGAGACTTTTAGGCATCATCAGCCCTTTCCACTGTCCAGGACAACCCCAGTCACACATTCTAACTCCATCTCAGTGTAATTTGGAATGGGGAGAATCTCCTCCTGGTACAACCCATGCTGACAGGACCTTTTCCATACTCTGTGCTGTTCATTAATTTTTGATTCACATGCACTTTAGAAGGAGGAAGAAGCTTGAACCCCAGGAGTAGTGCACTGCCTTCAGGATATATCTTTTCGTCAGTAGTGAACATCTCCCTCTCCCCCACCACCCCTGAGATGGAGGCACATATTCACCATCTAGGACACACTCCTGGGAACCCTCACAACCACGATGAAGGCAGCAGCAGCCTCCCCATTTTCCACGTCAAGAATGAAACTTGAGTGGGCCTTGTGCCACAGGGAACAGGGCAGCAGAGAGGCAGCTGCAACAGGGTGACCAGCCACAGACCCCAGCTCTTCCCCAACGCCATACAGGCATGGGTCAGCAACACAACTGGCCTGACCTTGTGCTGCTGTTTCCACAGCAGCTAGAAGCCCCAGCCAGCCCTGCCCCAACTGCTGAGCTCCTGTCCTAAGAGACTGACCAGCAAGATGACTGCAGGGAGGGAGATGGACATAGATGTGTGAAGCTGCTCGTGAGCAGAACAAGGCCCTATCAAGACAAAGCTGCCTTGAAAGCAGATGCAGCCTTCAGAACAGACAACCAACGGGTGACAGTAGTTTTCACTGTTCATTCTAGTACCTTCCAATGCCCTGGACGTTTTGTTCTCTGAATTGGCCCACATAGACATTCTCAAGTATGTAGGCAGACAGGAATCAGGGCCTCCCCCAAGACTCCCTAAGCTCCTCAGCCACAGTTCTATTAGCATTCTTGGTCAGTTCTTCAGAGCTCAGGGATCCACTGTGACAGGAGAACAGAGGCAGTGGGGCTGGCTGGAGTCACATGTCTATATGAACTGGTCTGAGAAACTTCCACCAAAATAAAGCCAGGAAGCCCTCTGCTTGGCACACCTGCCCTTTCTCCCTTTAACACGCCTGTCCTTCCCTCCCCTCCCCCAGCAAGCAGTTCCCCTGGCCTCCCTTGCTGGCAGTCATCCTTGGGTCCCATACCCTTCCTGCAGGGCACCTACCCTCCTAGTGCAGGCCCTGACCATGGCTGCCCCGACAAATGTCAGGGGCTGCTCCAAGCCCAGAATGTGCCCAGTGAACACTCAGAGTGGACTAGTCAGGCTTGGAAGCTGGATCACTTGCTGGCCATGTGCCACAAAGCCACGCCTCTGCATGTCCACATCTCACTGAGCACCAGCTAGGCCATGACAGCACCTGTACTTCTTCAGGAACGTGGTGTGGTCCCTACCCATGGGATGCCCTGTAGCAAGGCCAGCAAGTGTAGCTTCTGGTAAAGCCCATCTGCAAGGCTGCCTGAACAAGGAGTGTCCCCAACACCTTCTCAGACACACGTGCAGACGGCACGGTGCAACCTGGCTGCCAGAAAGGATATGGCCACCCCCTTCACACAGTGCTTGGCGCCCAGAGCCTTGATGGCCTCTGCGGTCCCAGCGTAAGGCCACTTGCCGCCTTCCTCTTGCTCGTGGCCCACGGTGACCTCGACGCCTCGGAGCACCTTGGCTGCAAGGACGGGTGCAATGCAGCACAAGCTGAAAGGGGAAGAAAACACATCAGCGCAGAGGCCAGGTGGAGCACCAGGTTGGTTGAGGACAGAAATTCACCAAGAGCAGACGGCCCAGCTGCTGGGGGCCCCTGCTGGCCCCAAGAGTCAGGTCTCAGGAGCTCATCAGAAACCCGGGGCAAGAGCTGATGCTTCAACACTTTGACACGCTGCCCTGCATGCAGCTGCCGGAAGATCTGGAGCAGACTGCAGACACTGTAGCAACTCCTGCTGCAGCACAACCCTTGCCCTGAACTCTTGCACTGAAGGGCCACAGCAGTGAGTTGGCAAAGACATCTATAACTGCTTGTTGGCCATGAGGGCCTCTAACACCAGGCTAAAGAGCGGGTGAGATTGCTTGTGCTGCCCTGGAAAGGGCACACTTTTATGGAAGAGAAAGCTGCAGGAGGGAAGCTGGGCTGAGGTTTCCTTAAGGACAATGACAGGCTGATGGCATGGGAGAAGCAGCATTGTCACCTCTGGGAACCCACACGCAGGAGACTAGGGACAACACAGGCTTGTGACTCTCACCCCACTCAGCCCAGTCTGTCTCCGCAGCAGGTATGCTCAGCAGCACAGTGGTGCACCTGCTTGGTTTGCTATCTTCTCGTGATTTTGAGAAAGTCACAAAATGGCAATCTGTCTTCCCTCATGACATGCACTATGAGGCTTCTCTGATAAGGACAGGGTTCCCAGGGTGACAGTGGGCAGCACCTTTACTCCAGCCATGATGCAGCCTCTGCAGGAACCTCCTTGAGGAACTCAGACCCTGCACTGGCTTCTGAGCAGGTCCAGGTCTGGGAGGATGCAGACATACTTTCTAAGGGCCCCAGGCTATGTGTTAAGGTGACTCCCTGGAAGGTGACAAGTGGGTCCTTAAGTGGATGACTGCAGCATTTGCAAAAGCCAGTGATCATTGGTGGCACTATGTTTTTCAGCCTCTGTGCCAGTCAAACAAAGGATTCTATTATAACCTTGTTCTTGTTGGAGTTGCAGGACTGGGGTGAGCAGCTGCAGGGGTGTGCACCTTAGTAGATGCTCCTCCACACACTTGCAGGTGCCCTGCCTCTCAGATTCCTCCAACCTGTGACAGACTCCAGTGCCCAGCCACTGCCAGGTGCTTCAGTGCATAGACCTGACAGTGCTGCATTGAAGGATGACCAGGGAGCAAATACTGGGATGCTCATAGATCCAGAAGTGTGGAAAAAAACCACGTGACAATACGGAACTTGAACCACCGAATCACCATCACACATGAGAGCCTATCTCCTGGGTGCAGACTGGGAATGCACACATGCATCTACCAGGACTGTGACCACATGTAAGCAGAGGTCGTGTCAAAAAATGAATATGGGCATGCAAACAAGAGCGGGCCCCACACACACACCTAGCCTCAGGTTTCAGTCTTCATCTGCATGGGGGCATAGGAAGTTGATTACATGTGGCTCCTGCTGTCAGAGTCAGTGCACACACCACAATGACAGGCAGTAAGTACCTGGGGCAAGTGGCTGAGGGGCTGCCCTGACCAGGAGGAAGGCACTGGTAAAGGTGGAGGTTAGGAAAAAACTGCCTGAGTACACTTCTGAAAACAGGAAAGTCTCCACCAGGGGAGTGGAGCGTCTCCTCTCTATCCTTTTACATCACCAGAAGGAGTTCCTGCGCCTACGTGACCACAGGATTTCTGGAGCTGAAAGGCACCGGTGACACTGCAAAAAATTCCCTCAGTTAAAACAATAAAGTGAGCCAAGAGTTTCCAAGATCACATAGTGCCTGCCACCGGCTCCTTGGCAGAGTGCAGAGGCTGCAGTGCCCGTCCCCCTGCGATCCCCAGGCCTCTGGCAACACATACCCAATGGGCTTCCCGGCCTGGTGGAACTCTGTCAACACACGTGCGATGTCTCTGTTCACTTGGCAATCCTTCCCGTCCACGGCAAATGTGCTTCTACCGGGAGAGAAATGCCCCTCAGACAACTGTCACACTGGCATGTTTCCTGGGGGCTCCCATCCAACTCTCACTCAGGTGGGCTCCACCAACTTTCAAGCAGCCATAACAAGCAATGCGTGTGTATGCACACACATGTGCTGGGCTTTGCATGTAATTATAAGCTTAATTTTGTTCTGTTTTTAAACAGAAAGCAGCACGGACAGCAGGAGCACTAAGAGGTAGGAGGGATAGGGGGACGCCAGGCTCGAGCCAAGCCTTGGCAGGGCTAGGGCCATACGGTGGACTTTTAGAGTCTGCTTGCTGAAGGGGTTGCAAGAAACCTAGGAAGCAGGACAAGGAGAGTTTCAGAAAAAGAAATGCCACTGGCCTGAAACACGGGTGCTCACTTAACTGACAATGCAATGCCAGTCCATAGCAGTCTCTTACACCCAAGTGAGGACGGGGAGGAGCTGCAGGGTGGGGCTGGGCGGCTCCCACAGTGGTCATGATTATGCCAAGACCACTACCCCAGGGCTCTACCCTACCCTGCTTACATATTCCAGGTTCTGTTCCAGCATTTTACTGCAGCTTTGCTTGCAGAGAACTGGAAAGCTCTCGGGATGACAAAGTTTACTGTGCTGACGTAATGTCCCAGAGAGGCACATGCCCCACAACTCACCAAATCGTGCACTTAAGTACATGCCTCAGTCATACTTCAAAAAGCCAGTAAAAAGAAACAAGATGTCTGAACTCTCCCAAGCAACCATCAGTGGGATCAGTTGAACGAGTCAGTCCATCCTGTGGACTCTAAGCCACCATCAGTAGCCCCTCCAGTAGCGAAACAGAGATTACAAAGCCTAGAACCATATGTTTAAGGAGCTACTGTCGGGGTCCACTGTTAATGTGCTCACATACATGGAATCTCTCTGGAAACACACAAACCTGGGAGCAGTGGCCAGGGAGGGGCTTGGGGTCAGCAACAGGACTGAACTGGACTTTCTCCTATATTTCTGTCTCCAGTGCATTACCCTACAGCCATGTGCATGCACTAACCCTTACTGGCAACAACAGCCTTCTCAAAGGAACCACTGGCTAGCAGACACATGGGCTTTCAGGAGCCTGGCCTATCGTGGGCCTTTATTCTGGAAAGGTCAGTAAACGCTGCAGCAGTGCCCAGGAAGATGGCAGCTTCACCCAGAGGAGCATGCGCTCTGACACACACTGCTCTCAAGGCCCGGCCAAGACAGACTCACCAACACCAAGAACCTCACTCAACATGCCTCACATCTGCGCTCCTCAGTTAGAAAAAAATGTGGATTGTCACCAGAAGGCACAACCCCTGACAATTCCTCCAACTGTGCAGGGACCCATCAAGGAAGGCTTTAGGGGTTGGAGGGAGGTAGGGCAGTGTGTAAATTTGGCTCATCTTTTCAGGAAAGAAATGCTGGACTGTTGGGCCAAAATCCAGCAGACAGAGACGGCTCTGCTCACCTCCAGCCAAGAGTCTTGTGGAGATAGAGATGACACAGGGATTGCTGGATGAAGGTCAAAGGTTGCTGCTGACAGGGGGCCACACTAGGTCAGGGGCTCTGGCAGCACTGATAAAGCTCTCTGGCTTTCGGAAGAGGGAGTGGAAGTGAGACCTGGGCAGGGAGTCTGGTGGAAGACACAGGTGTGGGCACTGAAAAGAGCTGGAAAAACAGCATCAAAACTGGAGGATGGAGGTATCCTGCCGTCTGCAGGCAAAGTAGGGCCTCAAGGTTCTGAGGTTAAAAGGGACCATGACCAGCTGTACTTCAGAGAACAAAACTGCCTTTGTCCCCCCACTCTGGGGCAGGACGCACAGAGCAGGTGAGGGGCTGGCCAGGCCCTGGCTTGTCCATGAGACGAGTTGTTGACCAGGGTCTGATGTGCTGGGGCTGTCACCTGTACTGCAGCACATGAGCCAACTGGTGTGTGGGGACAGCCTTGAGGCAAATGCTCCTAGACCCTACAGAGCTCTATCACAGCTATTGCTGGATCAGCCCCGTGTCTACCCCCAGGCAGAGCCACGCTGAGGCCGGTGCCAAGAAGATGCCATGAATGCACAAAGAGAAGAGAGAATGGAAACACAGAGACCATCAGGAGGATCCGAAACCTGAGAACCATCACTGTGTGGTAACTGCAAAGTTCCCTTAGCTCACGGTTCAGTTACAATGGAAACAACCAACAGCAAAGCAAGAAAGGCTCCCTTCCTTCTTCAGGACTACACCCAGCTATCTAACAAGCCAGGCAATATTCTGTGCTGCAAGGTTCAATGTGATGAGACTCACCAGCATGGAGGTAAGATAAAGAGGGAGCTCAAACCCTCTCTGACAGCAGGTGGGTACCAGGGATGCTCAGAGAAGGGAAAGTAGAGAAAGAAGTATATCTTGTTAACAATGCCACCCAAGCGCTACCCTAGCTGCAGCTCTCTCAGCAGACAGCAGGCACATGCAGTATGTAAACCCTAAGACCCCAACAGCTGTACCTATCACCTAATGCTGCCTACTCCCCAGCTACCACGCCCTGTGGGAAGCAGCACCAGACCCTGAAGCTGGGATACGCACAGGTTTTTGGCTGCTCCAAAGCCTCCAGGAAAGATGGCGGCATCATGGTTGGCAGCATGAAGCTTGGCCAGGTCTGTGATCTTGCCACGGGCAATCCTTGCTGACTCAGCCAAAACATTCCTGGAAAAGAGCACATGCTCCGTGACAAAGTTCAATGTGCAGGACTGTAGCACAGGGTGAGGATGACTAGCCTGTAGCGGACACAACACACATGGTCCTCAGTCAGAGGGAGTGCTCACATACAGGGAGGCAACACTGCCAGGCCAGCATGTAAGGTCACTACCTGGAACAGGTAACATGGTGCCAGCAATCCCAAATCTAAGCTGGGGTCCTTTAGATCAGCACTTCAGAACCTACATTGCATACTCTGAACCTTCTGCACCAGCTAGGGTCCATATGGAAATGAAAGTCTCTCCAAGTGTCTAAAGCAGACCCAACTTAGTATGTCCCGACAGGATGGTAGGGTGCAGAAGTAAAGAAGCCACTACTCAGGAGGGAAGCAATCCAAGGGTCAACCACAGGAGGAAGCTACTAGGACCCTAGGCTTGGGGGACAGAAGGAGCAGGTGCAGGTTTCAGGAGCCAGGGGTCCCAACTGGGGAGAGCCACAGTCCCCAGAAGACAGAGCTGTGGCTTCTTCTCCAATGTCTGACCCCCGTCTCTCACTGTCTGAAGTCAGCTGGAAGGGGCCTGGGAAACAGCCTGCAAGGGGCTGTCTTCTTGCAGTCACAGCAAGACAGGCAAAGGGAGAAACAGACCACAGGGCACACAGGGTCAGGACTGCACAAGCCCCAGGAACGGAAACACTGCTGAGAGCGAGCTGAAAGGTCGGTGAGTAAGGTGGGTGACCAAGCTGGGAAGCACCACTTCTGGTCAAAACAAGATATGAGTGGTTTTACACAGTGGGAGCAGCACCATCAACATTTTCATGATTCCTGCAACTAGTAAAAGGCAAGAAACATGCTGAGCGATGGCAGTACTACTTCCAAGATAGCTTGAGGATGAAACATTTGCATGCGAGATTCGGGCTAGCGGTTCAAATCAAGCCAGCAACGAAAGGCTGCACCAAAGAAGGTGGACAAGAAGTTCTCAGCAGGTTTCAAGCCGTCCCCACACCTGGTTTCACTTTCAGAAGGCTGCCCCTTGGTGTGATCAATCACATGCATCTGAGGGATGTCAGGAGCAAAGATCTGGACCTCAGCCCCACCACGACTCAGATGTACCAGTATCCTGTGCAGGAGAAAACCATGAGACGTTTCAGAATGTACTCTATTCAGAGATGTGTGCCAATGCGTTTTTAAAAACAGGATTTTAACTCAATGCCAGGAGTAAATCCCTAATATATACTAATATCCTACTTGCTTTCAAAAAGTTGTGGTTGGCTGTCTAACATGCCAAGTACCCCTGATTCCAATTCAGTCACCTGATGGGTTATGGTAGACTCTCAGAAGTAGGCTATTAGAGATAATCCTGTCCCAAAGGCTCCCTCTGTGAGCTGGGGGAGAGTCACCCTCTGTGAGCCAGGTGACTTGGATGAGGCTGTGGGCTTCTGGGCTGCTGCTGAATGCTCCACTTGCACCCAAGGCCTGCCTGATCTCCTAGAGGCTGCTTGCTGCAGTCTCCCAGAGGGAGCAGCAGCAACCTGGGCAAAGGCTCAAAGGGTGTGAGGGGCCTTTCAGTTACTACTTAGTAAGTTCAACTACTCCTCTCCCCCAACTTCCTATCACAGGTGTGGAGGAGAGACACGGAGATCCCAAAACAACACTATAGACCAAGAAGGACAATCCCCCTCCGTAAAGGCAACAGAGGCTAGGGTCAACTGCTGACATGACAAGGGTTCACTCTGTGATAGACACAATTTCAAATGCCAACTCACTAAACCCAGCCAGATGCGGATGCCCTTATTGCCCATTACACAGAGGAGGAAACTGAGGCACGCAGGGCAGTGACTTTCCTGAGGCTGTGGTTAGATCTGGCCCTGAGACTTGGGTTTCACTACCCATAAGTAACCCACCCTGGCACCCCAGACACAAGGCCTTGCCAGGCTGCCTGGGAGGTCTCAAGCTAATCCCTGGCTATTTCCTGCCTCATTGGCTCCTTCTCCCCCATGCACAAATCGTGAAAACTTAGCCTGGCCCTTTGCTGTCAAGCTCCATCAAGCGAAGGTTCATTCTGCCTAGTGCCAACTCCAGACAGGGTGGGTGTGGTGACCCTCTCAGTGACCCGACATACCTTAACCACCACCTAACCGTCCTCCTTCTCATTAATTCTGAGTCACATGGGAAACACAGTGACCTGCAAGTGCCTACTGGTTCTGCTCATGGCCATTTTTAATAAAATAAAAAACCAGAACACCAACTACTCAGCAAACAGCTCACCGGTTACATAAATGATAAACTATAACCTAGAACACAACACAACCTTTAAATTAAAATCCTGTTGTTGAGAACCAAATGGATGGAAATCAGTTTCTATGCATCCAAAATATTTGCAGGATGCGGGTGTGATCCCAATGTCTGCAGAATGCATGTATACAGAAAAACACCAATGTGAACTGTTGGATGGTTACCACAGGGTGACAGTATAGTAAATGATACTTAGATTTTCTTACTTCAGTGTCTCTGTGTTTTGTCAGTTGTTTTTGTCTTTCTTAGTCAGACATAGAGTATTTAAAATATACGCTTTCTTTAAACGGTTCCATAAAAAGCAAACTACACCAGGGGCGAGACCTTCCCGGCGCGGGCAGTCCAGGAGCAGCTGTCCCTGGGGACTTACGCGGAGGCCTCGTGGATCTCAGTACCGTCGTAGACTCCACATCCAGATAGCACCTGTGAGAGGAGCGTGAGCTAGCTGACCTGGGGGAGGAGCCGACCTCGGGCGGCGGGAGCTGACCTGAGGGGAAGGGAACCACCTGGGGCCGCAGGAACTGACCTGGAGAGGAATGGTCGATTTCGGAAGGGGGGTGGGAAGGAGAAGGGATGGCCTCAAGCAGGGGTGTGGGGAGGGCCGACCTCAGGTGGGGGAAGCTGACCCGCCCCCCGCCGTCCACTCACCACCGCGACCTTAGCCCCAGGTCGCGGCGCCGAGCCGTGAAGGGCCGAGCGCGAGGGGGGCATCTGACCGTCGGGAGACAGCAGCCGCAGACGGCCGGGGAGGGGTGCGAACGCGGACGCCGCTGCCAGCCTCGACGCCACCAGGATCCTGACGGCCGCCATGACGCTGGGGACGGCGGGGTAGGACGGTCACGGCCACGACGAGCCTGAGCACCTAACAGTCTGCTAGCCGCCAGTGGGTAGGACCGCGCTTGCGCAGACCCGCCCTGTAAACTCCAGGTCTCGCCCCGCCTCCCCGGGCCTCAAGCGCGCCCGCGGGCGAGACCGCGCCTGCGCAGAGCCGCTGTGTGCAGCTCCAGGGCCCACTCCGGCCTTTTCTCCAGTCTTCCAGCGCGCCGGTTGGTAGGGCCGCGCCTGCGCAGTCGCCAAGTGGCGTTCCGGGCCTCGCTCCCAACTTCCCGGGCACAATCCTATTCGGTTCCGCCAGCCACTCCGTACCTGAACGGTTGGACCTGCATCCGTCCCCAGATCCCAGGCAGAGCGGACCTAGTAACTCCCGCAGCCTTCCACCCCTAGAGGGAGGCACGCTCGGCCCCTTCTATGGGTGCCGCCCCCTTCCGGCCGCCGGCATCTCCTCCACTCGGTGGAGGGGGTTAGGGGTTGGGGTAATGGTGACCCGGGCCGGGGACTGCTGCAGGGCAGCCTCCCCGACGCCTCCAATCGCTGCTCTAAAAGATGGTGGCTCAGCCTACAGCCGCGCTTTGGGAGGCTGAGGTGAGTGGATTGCTTGAGCTCGCAGGTTCGAGACCCGCCTGGGCAACTTGGCGAGACCTCGTCTCTACAATAAAATTAAAAAATCACCCGGGCATGGTAGCGCGTGCCAGTAATTCTGATTACTCGGAAGGCTGGGGCGGAAGGATCGCCAGAGCCCAGCAGGTCGAGGCTGCAGTGGCC